AACAATTGTGACACGACAACTTTCAGGTTTAAGAAAACAGCCCAACCCTTGCTGCCTCACCCCGAGATTCCCCTTGTCACTCCCTTTGCCACTGAGAACTAATTCCCATCATGGGAAAAGACTGGTTAGACAAGCTAAGAAACAAGGAGTGTGAGAAAGGTGGCAACAGTGGGACGCAATATAACAAGAGCTCACACACTGTTCTTCTGGACAAGTGATATCAAACCAAATGGTCAATAAATAAAATGCATTATAAAAATATGACAGCTCCATATATGGTCAGTTGCCAATTACTGTAGTTCTTTAAAATGTATGCTAAAAAGTGTGTGTATTGGTGTACAATTCGATGACCAGAACTTGTGTTTTCAAGCAAAGTTCATTTATCTCTACAGGCTTCCAGGTTCCTTGAAGAGGAAAGAAAAAGAAATGCAGGAAATGAAAACCTTATTCCCAGGGGCAAAAAACACTATTCTGTTAGATCACTACCGCGGTCCTTCAAACTTGTGAAATCCCAAAACTCAAAACGATGATTTCCAGTTTCTAAATTAACCTGGATATTAATCACTCACATTCCTTTTATTCCTGTCAGAAGGTACCAAGTGGACTGTCGCACAACATGAACCAAATACTGTGTACTGATTGAGAAGCCTTGGAGTTCTTCCAGACTATCGTCTATTATGAACCTGTAGTGCAACTACTCAGTTCCCCCTAATTTGATTTCTGCCATTAAACACGCCTCCTGGCAAGTTACTGGATCTTGTACAATCTTACAGATTGCTGGGAGCTAGCACAGGGATGGAAATATGCAGATTTCAGCATTTTTGCAAATAGAGAATTTTAAGCTACATTTTGAAAAGCAGAATGCAACCACAACACATCCCTGTAAGTGAGGTAAATTAGATTTGGAATTGTGGTGACATGCTTAATTTGCATCATGATTTCTCCAAGTCTCAATGAGTATACGATTTGTTCTATAACAGGCTACAAATTAAAGGAATGTATTTGAAAATTTTATGCATTTTAATAATGCATAATAGCTGAATTCACCTCTTGTGTCAGAGCATTTATTAAACATCGTGAATGGCAAAAATGTATTTCTGGTAGCATATGTTTCATGGTTTCACTATAAAATGGGCACCACAAAGCTGTATATCAGTTTCCTTTGTTATTTTTAAGCTTTAGTTCATGTATGTGTTGCATATAATGAAATACCAAGTGAATGTACTGATAGCAGAAAGGACCTTCATAGTGAGTTTTTTCATCAGATGTTTTCCAAGTTCTATAGGTGACCTACTGGTCACAGGTTGCTCGGACCAGTTCCTCCAAAAGATCGAACAAGACAAACACACTTCAAGCATTGTGCTCTCACAGTAGGTATCAGGGACCATTTCTACACCCTCCCAGTGTAGGACCACCCCAGAAATACAGATTTGTTTTCCTTTAGGTCTTTCTTAACAATTGGGTGACTTGCAGAATTGCTGAAAAGACATGCAACACAAGTTGCACCAGTTTGACACAATTTCTAGTTGCTATCATGTGTAAAACAGGGCACAGAGCTGAATGAAAGTCCTACATACCCCTGCTGAGCGAGTAGGACCTCTGCTTCCCCTGTCCAACAGAACACTAGAGCCGGGTCCTCTTCTGGAGCTGGAGCTCCAGTCAGCCCAACTCCCTGCACACACAGCATCAGTGAGAGTTGGAACAAGCCTTTCACAGTCCTCTGCATGTGAATTCTCATTGTGGGTGGGTGGGTTGAGTGCAGTCGAGTTGGTGTTGACTTATGGCGACCCTATGGATGGTTCCCCCATCACTATCCATAGAGTTTTCATGGCAGCTACAGAAGTACAGTAGATTGACAGGCCTGTCTTCCGCGCAGGTAGTGCTAGTGTTGTTGCCGTTGTCAGGGAAACGTGATCCTCCGCTGCCAGCACCACCCCATACTGCTGTGGCCCAGTATGGGTTATTAGAGAACCTTGCACCCAACACGGGACATGAACCCACCACCCTGAGATTATGAATCTCATGCTCTACCAACAGAGCTAGTTGGGGCTCAATTCTCACTGTAGCTTGACATAATACAATGAACAAGTAATAGGTTTATTCCATGCTGCAAAGAGTGTGGGGGTGTGAATGAGGAAGGCTCACACATGAAGAAGGATCCACAGCCGAAACGTTGTGTTTCCTTTCTTCTCTTTTCAGCAGGGAACAAACCTTTACTTGTTCCTTTGTAGCCTACACATGCTGACACAGCTCCCCACCTGAACTACTTCATAATACAATGAACACTGCTAACCTTCGTTAACATCATTGGTATATGATATAATGTAGCCAAGAATGCAGATTATTCTCTTGTAATCTGTGGATGAGCCCGGCTCTCACCTGTAGCTGACTGAGACCAGGCTGGCCTGCAGAGGCGACGGTTCTGGCCCCTGCTGCCCGGCCGCACCACCTCGGTCCAGTCCGGGTGTGTGGAGGAACTGGGGCTCTGAGTCCAGGGGCTGCGAGTGGGAGGAAGGCTCATCGCAGCCTCCTTCGTCCTGTCAGCAAAACAAACAGCAGCCGAGCCCTTATCCTCTTCGTCTCTGCCTGCACGAGCTCCCCCCTGTGTTCTGACAACCTCCTGCCTTCACTCTGCACTGTACAAAATCAGGAATGTGCATTCGGTTGTAATGCAAGGCAGCGGTTTACTTTTCAACCTCATGAAAGGAAACCCCAGGTATTGCAACATTTCAATCTATTGCCCATTCCACAGAAGCAGCAAATGCGGAGAAATTGTTTTTTTTTTTATTTGTGCCGTATTTCTGGTCACTTTGATGTTAAAATAATGCGTGACACTTAAAAGCAGTTTTTGGATCGATAATTATCATATCATGCAATAATTGGAAAGCTGATCCTGTGGCTGTTCTATAGGCAAAAGTTCCCACCCTCTATTCTTTAATAACAGAAGCTACAAGAGCATAACAGTATTGTCTCGGTTCAATTTTTTAGAGCATCTTCTCAGACAGGTTGCTATGAAAATAAAGCCCTACAGAACTTTCATGATCACTGACCACTGTAGCAAAAGGCTCATTAAATGGCCGGCATTGGCCATTTCTAGTCATTCTGTGACAGAATGAAAGCTTACAGTTTTAACACGGCACAACCACGACGAACTCCATCATTATTGCGCCATTCTGCCTTGTCATCTGACAGCTTGCTGGAACAACTGACACCCATGTTTGTTTATATATACAGGCCTCTGCACTGTGTTGATGCATTGACTGGCATAACGATAAGCCAGTTTCACAATTTACTGCACCTCAAAGACATTGAAGGATATTGTCTGCAATCAGACTGCCTCTGCTTCCACACTTAATGAACAAAGACTTGGCAGGGACTGATAACAAGCTGAATGTGCCTCCCATTCTAATGCTAAACCACCCAGAGTTTTAGTCAAGATAGAAGATGCATACCAAGGTGAGGAATTTAATTATTCATTCAACATATCCACAGTCAATGTAAATCTAAAATGACGCGGGTACTTTTTCCAGATTGTTTTTTAAAGATTACTGTACATTATACGTCAATATGGAGTTTCAACGAAATAAAGAACCATAAAAATTGTGCTACATGGTTACTCTTACGAAACTAAAACTAATAAACTAAGATTTTTAAAGAGGCTGTTACTGTACCTTTTCAGGAGAGAGTGGGGCTCTTCTTCTCTCTTGTTAGAGTAGGGCCCTTGGCTTTCAGCTCTCTCAGCTCTGAGGTCTTGTGATGGCCTCCCCTGTTCCTCCTTCTCCAGCCGGTCCTCGCTGGGGTTCTCCTGCTCACAGCGCACTGCCAAGGGGCTTCTGGACTGGCCTTCACTGTCAAATCCCCTGTCCTGCCACGCATGTGGCGACTTGGCACTCCAGCGGACTGGCGTGTACCAGGCCACTGCCTAGCAGACCCCATAGAAACAGGGAAAGCCAGCAGGCAGGTCAGCGTTGCAGACAGAAAATAAGCCTCATTTTAACGACAATGATTTCCAAACATAAGGCTGCTGTTACAGGGGTCCCAAGACCAGTTCCGCATGAGCCATGTAAAAGCACAGCAGTCTCGAGTCTTGTTAGCCTGGAGCAGAGAAGTTAACGAGGAGACCTGACCCAGGCATTCAAAATCCTCAAAGGCGCTGACCAAATCAACTTAGTGGACCGCCCCAGAATCAAAAGTGAAGCAGAGGGCACAAGTGGAAGTGTGTGGAAGTGTATTGAAATGAGATAACATGTAGCGGAGCTAGTTCGGGCACGGTGACGTCACCGCCCTCCCTGCGCGTAGCAGGGACCTCAGCTGCCTCGTTTAGCTCACTCGGCTGGTTCCCTGTTGCGTTACACCGGAGACCCGGGTTCACGCCCCAGGTGCTGTGGGACGGAACGGGCGGGGTGGAGCGGCAGAGGGCACAAGCCCATGTGGAACCGCGACAGTCACAAACACAGGGAAGTGGGAGTGTGGAACATGCTATCCAGCAATAATGCTGAAGCCTTGGCTTCTTTCAAGAAACGACTGGGTGAGATCCTTAAACCTATTGAATACTACCTACCAAACAGACTACATGGACCAAATTGCCCCCTCTCATTTGTTATCTTTCGTACACTCTTACTTTAAGCCTAGTACAAAAGGTTTGAACTAGTATTATGCAATAATAACAACAATAATAATAATAAATATCCTCATCATAATTTGTGTAACAGCCTTCATTGACAAATCATTTCAGCAATGTGGATTAGGTGAGCTTGAGGCTTAACAGCAACAGCAAAAGACACAATGGGTGTCAGTCAATTAGGTGCACTGGTCAACAACATCCACATGTCATTTACAAAAATCATTAACTTTGAGAAACACAAAAGGAAAATAAGTCTATGCTAATGATGGGTATACGCAAGAAACCACAAATAAAATAAGGTATAAGTATAAAAAAACACAATATTTAGTTAAGTACACATTGACACACTCTCATCTAGGGGTGGAGTGGTGGCTCTGTGGCTAAGGATCTGCGAGTGCCTGTGATCAGAAGGTTTCTGGTTCAAAACAATCCCACAGCCAGCAGAGGAATCCTACTCTGTTGGGCCCCTGAGCAAGGCCCAAAACCCCAGTTGCTCCAGGGGTGCTGTACAATGGCTGACCCTGTGCTCTGACCCCAAGTTTCTCTCCCTGACTGTGTGTCTCATGGCGAGCAAGTTGGGGTATGTGAAAAAGACAAATTCCTAATGCAAGAAATTGTATGTGGCCAATAAAGTGATCTTATCATATATTATCTTATCTCCCCGCGCACTGAAACTTCGAGTGATTCAGCGGTTCAGTTTACCTGCCCATTCGGCTTACACAGGATAGTCGTACATTCAGGGCCAGTACCAAATCTGTGCTGTTCCTTCCATAGGAAGTCCTCTGGAGGTTTATGGGAGACTTTGGAGGCTGCTGCCCAGACCTTCAAGTCAAAATATCCAAACACAGCTCACATTCATTTCCAAAGCAGTCAGCTTAATAATAACCTAACGTTTGACTACTTCTCTCTTATCTAACGCAATGAAATAACTCTCAACAACATTTAACCCTTTGCGTCAAACACATCTGACTGGAATCACCAAAAACGAACGAAGAGAAGGTGAAATATTCTATCTTGCACTTAAAAATAGCAAGTCCTGCTGTCAGGCACAACTCCAAATGAATGATTAACGAACGACGATGAGGAGGTGGACCGACTGGATCAGAGGTTATGGATATCTAGGGGAAAGTAATTTCCTGCCAGATAAAATAATCAAAAGGGCTTCGGGCGTTTCCGTGCTACACGAAGAACTGGTTCATCGGAATGCAATCAGTACCGTGACAGAAGCAGCTGCCTTCAACCTTGTCCGGTGTGGGAACCTAAACACTGTCACAGGGTGGCCACCAACATTCTGCTGCAGTAGGAATCCCCCTATATCTTCCTCCTGCTTTTGGGAGGAATTCACCAGTCGGACATACAGGCCATTCGGGTGGACCTCTGCTATTTGGATATACCCTGTAGCGCTGCAGGAGAGAGGGGACAATGCATTATTCATCAGATCACAAGGCGCTCTCTATCCCATCCAGAGCAGTGTCAACAGTCACCGACAAAGACTGGGTGGGAGACCAAATTCAGGGTTTTTTTCTATTGGGTGTGTCCCAGAAACAAAACAAACTGGTCGTCTTGAATAGGAATCTGGATCTGTTTTTTTAGAGAAGAGGAGAAATGCCACCGACAATTTCTTTTAAAATGCAAGGAGTAACATGGCAGGGCTAAATTTGTCATGCAACTTGTCCTAATCAGATGAAGAACAAACCTATTATTAAAGGCAAATACTGCCTTCAGGTATTGGTCACAAAAACATGACCTTTTCAACTGAATATACAAATGTAAATCAAATTAATCACTTTCTGAAATTAATATGACTTAATTGAACCACGTAGAAGGGAGGATATATGAAAATGTGCAACGATCAGACAGTTTCACTAGGTTTTTGAGGCCTTCTTAAAAAAATAGAATACATGAGGTATGAATGAAACTGAGAGCTCATTATTATTACAACAGCCATGTATTATACCACTAAAATGTAGGAAAACCATCAAAATGGCTCTGGTAGCCTCTAGACATGAAAAGTCCAGTTTTTATTAAAGAAATAGCAGCATATTGTTTGTGATGTTTCATCAATCTTTTGATAGCTTAGCCTTGCAAAACATATCAGAATAAAGTATTTCTCATTTGCGTCAAAGAAAATTTCAATAGAAAAACATGTACATTACTACACCTGACTTCTGCAAATCTGGCTTGAACCTATGTAAATTTGTGAGAACATTCAGATTTCCATGGTGTTTAAGTACAATTATGACCATGGTGGGCTTTATTAAATAATTTCAACTATTTACTCTATAGGGTTTTATTTGTTTATTTCTAGAGACTGTATTTAAATCATTAATGATTTTGTTTACTAATCAATGTACTATTCTACTAATCAATGTATTCATTTAAATTATAAAATGTGTTCAGTGAGCTGAAAAGGGCATAGATTAGAATAGGATAGGAGCCTTCTACTATCAAAAGTATTACACAGAAAACATGCATATGGCTCAAAAGTGAAAAGGAAGCCGAACTCTTTCTTGCACTGACCTGGAATTTCCAATACTGCTCTCCTGCGCTGAGGACCGTCTGTTTTCCTCAACAGATGCACCAGAGGGCGCTGCTTCCTTCTTAAACAGACAGCTAAAATAATCCCTGCCTTGCCCAAGCAGGGCACTGTGTCCATCTAGGAAAGGAGGAACTGACACAGGACGCCTGGGATTCAGGGACTCACTAAATTCGCCTACACGAGAGACAGGGAAATAAAATCAGTATTGTTTCAGATGCAAATGCAATCGAAACATAAAACTTCAAGAGAAATGCAGTTTCAATCACTGATGGTGCACTCAACAAAATCATTAAACCAGCTACTGCAATGGCAATCATGCTGAAGGATCTCAGCTCTTTCATACTGGTAATTACTGTGATTTTCAGGTATCATCTGAAAAGTCACAGCAGAATTCCCAGAAATCCGACTTTGTATGAAAAGCAATTTCCAGATTTTTTTTATCCATGGCTTTAACTACTGCGGACAGAAAACCATACCTGTTTGGGAATTCACTCCTTAAGAATGTCTGCCGCAGTCAAAATGCAGAATACTGTGCGGTTCTCTGTTGTTTTGCTGTGATTATGACTGTTTGCTTTGGCATGGTTCCTAGTTTCTGCACTTACCTCATTAGGCCAGAGCTCTCTTTGCTGTGCCAATAATTTCAGTGTCCTACACATTTCTCGGGTACTTTTACCAAGATGCAGAACGGTATGCGTCTGTAGGAAAAAGGCAGCTGTAGCACACACCTGTTTCTCTGCGCAGCCTGCTGCTGTGCGCTCCAGTAGCAGTGGCAGGTCTCCCAGGTGGGACAGAGGTGACAGACCTCAGGGCTTTAACCTTGCTTGAGGAGAGGCTGTGGCCTGCTGCAGGAGAGAGTCCGTCCAGGGGCTCTCCTCCCACTGTCCAGTTATGATCCTCTGCAGGGCTTTAGTTTTGGGGGGGGGAAACAAGAGCGATCCATTAAAAAGAGGAGAAAAAATACCTACTCTGAAAATTTGAAATCAAGCCCTTTTAATTGACCGATGAAGAAATGGGCGGCCCAAGAATATATGCCATGGGATTGTCCAGACGCCACTGCTTCAGACCTGGATAATTATCAGGGCTGGCTGTGATCAGGAATCCCCCCCAGGAGGTGAGGACACAGCAGACTTAGTGCAGCCAAGAATGGGTGCTTGAATAAAAAAATCACCAGCTTGCTGTGCAACAAATAAGATAAGATCACTTTATTGGCCACATATAGTTTCTTGCATTAGGAATTTGTCTTTTCACATACCCCAGCTTGCTTTCCATGAGAGACACAGATGGGGAGAGAGAAGCATGGGGTCAGAGCGCAGGGTCAGCCATTTATACAGCACCCCTGGAGCATTTTGGGGTTCAGGGCCTTGCCTGGGGGCCCAACGGAGTAGGCTTTCTCTGCCAACTGCGGGATTTGAACCAGGAACCTTCCAGTCCTTCCTTAGCCACAGTGCCACCGCTCCGCCCAGATGCTTCACACTGGGATCAAAGCAGATGGCTATTTTGTTTTAAATAAAGCAGCCATGTCACCCTGCAACTCACAACTGGCAGCCCACTGAAGCTCAGCAGGTGTGAGCCTGGTCAGTACCTGGATGGGAGACCTCCTGGGAAAAACTAAGGTTGCTGCTGGAAGAGGTGTTAGTGGGGCCAGCAGGGGGCGCTCACCCTGTGGTCCATGTGGGTCCTAATGCCCCAGTATATGAAAGGGACACTATACTGTAAAACAGGCGCCGTCCTTCGGATGAGACGTAAAACCGAGGTCCTGACTCTCTGTTGTCATTAAAAATCCCAGGGCGCTTCTCGAAAAGAGTAGGGGTGTAACCCCGGTGTCCTGGCCAAATTTCCAATTGTCCCTTACCAATCATTGCCTCCTAATAATCCCCCTCTATGAATTGGCTACATTACTCTGCTCTCCTCCCCACTGATAGCTGGTGTGTGGTGAGCGTTCTGGCGCACTATGGCTGCTGTCGCAGGTGGGGCTGCACATTGGTGGTGGTGGAGGGGATCCCCATTACCTGTAAAGTGCTTTGAGTGGAGTGTCCAGAAAAGCGCTATATAAGTGTAAGCAATTATTATTATTATTATTAAATAGCCTCAAAAAACTATCCACGATTTCGCACATTGGAAACTTGGGATTGACCGATGTCCCATGCCGGGTGTGGTCCTGTCTTGGACCCTGTGCCTGCTAAGCAAGGCCGCACTCACCAAGACCTTCGACAGATACAGTGGATATGGAAAATAGATAAATAAGGAAAACAAAGAATGTTTTGTGAGCCAAACACATAGTGATCTAAATCTTGGGGATACATAATTAGAGAGAGTCTGTTAATTTATTTCAGTAAAAACCTGTTTTTTAAGCTATTTTACAAGACCTGATGTTGTAAAGACAGAAGATGATAGAAATCATGGCTTGTGATATAACAAAAGGCACATTCCGCAAATCCCTGTTTATCAATTCATCAAATTCAGCCAAATGAATCTAGAACATGTAACACAGAAGAAGGAAAACTAAAGATAAGTTCAGAACAGCAAGGTCTGTATAAGGTCTGTTAATTGTATAAAAATTAACATCGGTGTTTTTTAATACCTGTATATACCTGTTACATGGTTCATTTTCTACAAATAAATATATATTTATTTGTATATTTATATCTTTGGTTAGAAAGATAGTGGTGTTCATCTGTTCAAGCATAGCTTTTCAGGTCTCCTGAAGGGCACTCAGATGCTTGCATGACACTGGATGTCTGACATAATGCATGAAGGGCTCTGTCTGTTGTTTAGAGGAACCAGGCAGCAGAAACACAATAACAATCCCTCAGCTGGAATTACGCATTAAAAATGCAACATTTGCAGGCATTCATAGATTCATATTTTGCTGTGTACAAAAGCCAAAAAGTGGAATTGAAATCTCAATCAGAAAAAAAAGACTCTGCATCTTATTTAATAATATAGACCAGGAGTAAATTACAAATCAGTGTTTTACAAAATCGCATTACAAATGCATATGAGGCACGTGGACTTGCAATAAACTCTCACGAGACCGCACAACGGGGGAACATGTGAACACCCTCCACAGTACCAACGTGCACAAAACCTTTGCTAGAAATACACTCTATAATAACCTTTGAAAGCCACCTGAGGGAAAAACAATTTAGATTGTGTCTTCAGCTGTGGTACATATCAATCTTTCTCCTCTGCACAAACTGAGTCATAACGAGCACATACTGCTGATAGTGCCTCTTTAGCTTACAGCTAAGCATGACCGCATCATTCTGATTCAACAGAGAATTAGAAAAGATTGCCCTTAGACTCCTTAATTTCTCTGAAATGTTTAAAACAAAGCAGCCTTGTATACTAAATAAGGAACAAGTAATAGGTTTATTCCATGCTGAAAAAAAGAAGAAGAAAGAGAACACAACGTTTCGGCCGTGGAGCCTTCTTCAGGTGTGAGCGTGTTTTTTGTATACTAAATGCCAACTCAGACTGTTTTAATCCCATGCTGCAACAGTATTTTCAATGGGAAAGATTTTGTTTCCAGAGCATTACATTAATAATAACAGCTGTCTTAATTCAGCTCAGGGCTGGTGTCTGGAGTAAACAGTACATTTTGTTGAAAATACTTTTGAACATCACAAAATACTGTACAGAAGAGCACTCAAAATATTAAGCAAATGTGCTTAAAAGCCTTTGCTGTCGACTAGGTCTCGGATTATTTACAAATTGTTGTAGATGGTCTTCTACTCAGGCTTTGTGCTCTAAAAACGTTGTTTAGCAACTAAACAACTAAGGGAACATTACTGATGTTGCAGGTAAACACCATAACTTTAAATGTATTTGTTTTTAACTACAGCAGTAAGCAAAAAATATATAGGGTGAAAGGTGGCAAAATGAAAGTGCACATCATGCAATACTTCATGCAACATCATGTATGAAAACACTACGCTGTTTCACCTTTACGCAGAAAAGTTGCCTGTTTACTAAGCTACTACAATTATACAATAACACATGATCCCAATACGGAACTCTCAGGCTTTCCTTTAATGACAGCTTCTCTCTTATATATTTCATATCGTGATGAGTAATTCTGAAATGACAGCAGCGAATGTCAATCAATTGTATCAAAAAGTAACAGTACTCACAAAAATCCCAAAAGATGTCGGAAAGAGCCTACAAAAAGTTAAGTCTTTTGCTGCAGGGCACTCTTCACAGTCCTGGGCAATGTGAAGGTCTAATCATACACTATGAGATCTGTTCCATGAAATAGTTTATCTCAGAGTGGTTAAGTGCCTTGAGGTCTCTAAGAAGAAAAGCCCTATATAAATCCATATTGCATGCATGACTTTTAGTATCTTATCTAACAGAATAGTGATTGAATAACCCAAATTAAGTTTTCACTTTTTTCTCTGACCCTATAGGCAAAAAAACAGCCCTGTACTGCAGTGTTTCTTGCTGTGAAATTGAATTTGTAGATATACCTCTGCAGTATCCTGCACAAGTTATTAGCATGACTTCCTGTTATTTAAACATCTTTCTTGTTTCTAGTTATGTTGTGTAGCCAACAACAAAAACAGTATTTTACAAAGCAACATTTCTTGCACAGCCCCCAGTACAGACAGTTATGAATGTCTTCAGACTCTAGTTTAAATTTATTTGCACTTAACTGCAGCAGTAAGCAAAAAATGTGTGGGTCTGAGATCTTGGGGACACTAGTTTCATTTACCTGTATTTTTTGTAGTGATTGACTATGAAATTATTTTTCTGCCAATACCTAATGTGATTTCTCGTCTGGCTCCCTGCGATTGGGTAGGGGGTCACTCAATTCCTAGTTTAACAGCCACCAGTAATGGATAAGACTGAAGGACTTCACAGTGAGCTATTGGCTTGCGCACGGCGAAACTCCTGGCTCCAGGTTCAGATTTGTATTGCTGATGAATAAACTAGACGGTCATTTCTATTAAAAGGGAATTTTCTTACTTTAGGTCTTCACCCTCATCCTGCACAGTCTTCAGAGGGCTTTCCCCTTCCAGAGAATCACTGCGATGTTTCTCTTTTGCTAGGAGCAGGTCCTGCATTTCCTGCTGGTGAAAAGACAGTTCTATATCTAAACAACGAAGCAGACGCTTGTGCCATTGACTCACGCAATACTCCAAGCGTTCTGAGGGGTTCTCGCCCTTGTTAAGGATTACTCTGCCTCAGAATGCTTTACAACCATGATAAAAGCATAGCGTGCTTGTGAAAAAAATGGCATGCCGTGACTGTATTGATTTTACTGGATCACTTTAATATATTAAAGTTGATCTTTCTTTGGTTTTCATTTCGCTAAACACTGGATGAAATTCATTGTAGGCGGTTTCACTTAAGACTGTCATGAAATGGTGTATTCGAGTGACATGCTTGTAAAATTTTAATTATACATATTTATATAAATGTACATTCATATTCCTCTTCCTTGTATATTATATACCATATATATAACACTCTTCATATTTTTATATTTAAAAAATTAATTCTGCCTCATTGACAAAAAAAACTTTGAAATAAAGTTCAGATGTGGTATGTGTCTTTTTCCCTCAGAGAAGCCAGTTTACATTAAACTTGGTCTATCAAAGAGACAGTAAAGCTTCTCTGTCTCAGCTATGTCTCACCATAATAAATCTATTGTTTAGTCTCAGTTCAGACTGGAACAATGTATTTGCAACTGGAACATGTGCAAACCAGAAGTAGCAGAATGTGGACAGACAAATATTAAAACCAGAATGGAACTTTCTTGGCCCTGTAGCTGCCTCTACTCCATCTAAACTGGAATATAGTTGTCTTTCTCCCCTTCAGTATCTGCAGATTATAGACTGTCATAAAGTCAAGGGCATTTTGAATTTTGTACACCCTTAGTTCTCACTTAATTAATTTTAATAATTAGATTATTTCTACTTAATCAAGATAAACTAACAGGGGAATAACACTCAAGGACAGGTAAGTCATTTATTTTCGTAATATACTTTTGTTTACTAAACTGGAAGAATGAAAAATGTTTTCCACTCTTAACCAAGATTTGCAATAAATCGTCACATGAACCTGCAGGATTTATGCTGTCAGGGCTTGGATATGTACACAGTTATATTTTCTCAACACGAATTTCAACAGATAAATTTCATGCCAATAGAAGTGTTCTACTTCCAACAATAAAACCACAGATATAAAAAAAAATGTTCAGCCAAATTAATGTTAATATAGATATTTGTAGCATTTTTAAAAAGCTCACATATACAGTAAACCGTAGACAAAAGTTAATTGCCAACAACCTTTGTCTCTATATACATACAGCAACACAAAACAAAACTGCTGATCAAAAAACACTTAGGAGTAATACAATGTTATAACAGGCAATGTTTTGTCTGCAGGCAAAAGCTAATTTAGGACATATATCTGATTTCTTAATAACTTGGATTTCAGCCATTTGGGTATTTTTAAAATCACAATTAGGTGTTTAAGATCCTGAGAGAATCCCATTGCAGCAGTAACAGCCCTGTGCTGTCTGACAGACAAGCAAGGACACACATACTGTATCTGCTACTCCCAGTCTCAGCTGGGATACTCCTTACAGGCATGGGAAGGGGCAAAAAGAGAGTTGTGAAGACAGAACACAGAATCATTCCAGTCAAAACGTGTTCAGAGACTGTTCTACTTCTTATGTCTGAGTGGGTCAGGACTTGTTGTGACTCCCAGCGGAATGACTGCAGTTGGTGTTGGCCCTTTCTTTGAGGACAGCTTCATTTAAGGCCAGCCCTTGTTTGACTACAGATCTCCTGATCAGATGGCAGACTTTACTCAGTACATCACAAGGGTTCCTGTGAAAGAAGTTTACAAGTCGTATCCTAAAGAAATTTCATGTCCAATCGTGTTATTTCTCATGACTTTCCCTGTTCAGCCATTCTTGTTACGGTCCACTTTAAAACCAAAGCATTGGCTCTCAATCTGCAGACTCTCGTCTTGCATCTCAAAACTGTGATGGTGCTCAATAAATAGATATTGCTGTTTCAGGTTCTCTCCATTACCCAGTATTTCGATGTGCTTGGTTGTTGTTTTTTTCTATATCAGTTTAAAAATACAACAGCATATACACATTTTTCAAATGCCAAGTCCGAAACAACTACCTCTAAAGTAAGGTGCTCCAATTAAAGACCATACTGCCCTGTCACGCCTGGCTAGTTCTGTCTCAGTCTGAGGACTGTGTCCTGCCCGTGTGAAAATATCACCACTGTAGTCCCTGCCTGGATTCGTTCCTGACCACTCGCAGGATCAGACAGCGCTAACGCCATCGCTCCAAAAGACCAGTCCACTGCTTCGGCCGGCAGAATTGCACACTGCCCACACTGTCGCCGATTGCAGTGAGCGGTGAATATGATGGGGTATGAAACAAGAACACGCATGCTGAAAACTGCAAATGTGGGCTGCCTTCGCATCCCCTTGTCAGCAGCTTGTGAGGAAGCATGATTCTTATCTAAATGACACTTTGCCAGTAATACCTGTTTTGGAGCCATTACATAACATATAATTAAGCACTTTTTGCTTGGCCCAATCCCTCTTATGTGGGAATAGCGAGCTGTGGTGTGGAAGAGAACACCGAGATTCATTTTTTATATGATTATATGATTGCGTACTTATTCATTTTTGATCCCCGAATCCATTTTAAAAAAAGGAAACAAAGTAGTTCAATTTTCATTAATTAAACAAAAGCTGTATAGCACATATGCACGAAAGACCTAAGGTATCAAGAAATGTCTTAATTTCTCATTTTCATAAAAGAATGCAACAATAAAAGAATCAGACTTGGACATCATTTTACACTTAACCCAATGGCACTCTGGCACATCTGTTGCATTTAAACATTAATAATATACATTTCCAATTTGTTTTGTAAACAAAGTGACACTTTTTTAGAAAGGTTGAGAGTTCCTTTTCCCAAAACATTCCCTGGTTTGCAGAAATGTTATAAGGACAATGTGTAAATGATATACTGTAGTTACTGAAAGGATGTTGTTTGTTTTTTTTCCACCATTTTGTCACGCCATGGTTAGATGGTAAAGTAAGAGTCATTTATAGATTATTTTAAAAAATTCAGTCCAGTTTGTCAAGTTTTGCAAAACAAGCAGAGAAACAGAGAAGTGGTTAAGAAGATGTCTGTGGATGCCCATGGGATGATTTAAGATTATTTTGAAGGTAAACATTAGCCCTTACAAAAACATATCAGCATGCAATACATTGTACATTTCCAGATCTACAAGAAGTGGGGTGTGACACATTTCTTATAAGCAGCTTGGAATTGTGCCTGGGAATATAACCTCCAGCCTTGCACAGGCAGAGTCAGTTGTAACCCCATAAAAAAACCTCCTTTTTCCTTCTAAAAACAAGAACAGAAAAGTTACGGGACAGATTAAAGCTTGAACTAGATACTGTACATTCTGGAGTGCAATCTAAGTGTAATTACAACCAGATTTCCATTTTTCTACTATCTTCTACTCTCATTGTATGTGGTTTTAATTTTCTTTGAATTCTTGCCAAAGGAAATTTGTTCCTTAATGAGAACAATCCTTTGCACTCTGATACCTGGGGCTTGTGAGGCCCAGGGCAATGTGGAAACTTGCTGTCTTTGATAAAACCCAAATTTACACAATATTTTCTCTGTTCCAGCCCCTTCCCAAATAGTTTAGATACATGTGTCGCATGAACTAGACTAGCATTGTTAATTGCTTAAATAATAGATAACTACATTACAGACAAACACAGAGGTCGTTTTTAAGAGATAAGTTACATTGGAAAAAACAGGTAACACTACATGCAGGAAGCTGTTAAAATCAGAAACTGGATTACAGATGATATGAAGTTACAAGTAACATTATGTTTAAATAAAGTGTGTTTGTTCATGGTAAACTCTTTAGGTGTGTAATTTCTTCTATTTGAATTTAGGCAACCAAAGCAAATTTTCTAATTCCATTAATAAATAAATGAAGAGCACTACAGGAACCAGATGTGAAGATGAAACAAAACACCTGACTAATTGTTTGAAATGCTTGAATCTTATTTTACTCTGTGTAGGGGTTTAAATTATAAACTGCAATTAAATCCTTCTTCCAAGACACCAATGCAAACATGCACATCAACATCAGATGTTGGGATATTTACTTATAGTCTCTCTTCAATTATAAGTCCTTCACAAAGTAGAAGGACAGGACACTCGTGCTCTGTTCTGTCCTCTGGAAATTATCAATGCAAGAATACATGTTGTTTTCAAAAACATCAGAAACAAAAGTTTTATGTTCCTGCATTGTAAGATAGATGTTCCAATGTATCTGAACATGTGACAGTAAAATAATGACTTACACATGTGTAACAGTGCAAATGTTAATGTCATGTGTTCCATGAAACGGCTTAGTTTTGCCAAGTTATTTTTTAAAACTAGAACACTTATCCTTTTAATTGGTGTATCCTCTACTGTCCCCCTCCCACTGAATTTTTAAAATGAAGTACAATGTCTTAGTTCCACTTCTCATTTTTTGCCTCTCTAATGCCTCTCAATATATCATTACTAAAGCTAATAAAAACATAACTTCAATAATATTGGTTGTTTACAAACACAGGCCATTTGTTTTTAGAAGCCTAACTAGAAGTAACAGTCTATAAAAGAGTAATCTAAAATCATTCAAACTACAAACATTTGATTATGTTGCTCTGACTCACACAGAATTACTCATCCAACAGTCAGAAGGTAGTGATTGGTTAAAGTAAAAAAAAAAAACAAGCTCAATTACAGAGTTATCATTGTGCAAAATCTGGTTTAACACAAACAACCTGAAATGTGATGCAAGAGATTCGAAAAAAAATCTCGAAAGCTTGTGTTTCGAGAACTGTCAGCGACTGTTATCTCCATCTTTTCTCTCTCTCACCTCGACGTCTGTGAGTGACAGTTCAAGGATTACTAGAACAAACACGACACACATGTTACAAAGAAAGCTCAGAAGACACAGATTCACTGGAGCATTTCTCCTACTGATTCTGCATGCCCAGGGCTCATCAGTCAGGA